GAGGGGTCTGAGATTAGCCAATAATGGTGGAGGAAGTGGATAACCCCACCTCTCACTATAAGAAGGGTCTTAGATTAGTCAGTAATGAGCAAGGAGGTGGAAAACCCCTTCTCTGACTATAGAAGGGGGTCTGAGATCAGCCAATAATGGAGGAGGTGGATAACCCCGCCTCTCACTATAAGAGGGGTCTGAGATCAGCCAATAATCAAGGTGCAGATAGATAACCCTGCCTCTCACTAGAAGAAGAGTCTAGGATCATCCAGTAATGGTGAAGAAGATGGACAACCCTGCCCCTCACTATAAGAGGGGTCTGAGATCAGCCAATAATCGAGGAGCAGATAAATAACCTCACCTCTCACTAGAAGAAGGGTCTAGGATCAGCCAGTAATGGTGAAGAAGATGGACAACCCTGCCCCTCACTAAAGGAGGGGCTGAGATCAGCCAATAATCAAGGAGCAGATAGATAACCCCGCCTCTCACTAGAAGAAGGGTCTAGATTCAGCTAATAAAGGTGAAGAAGATGGACAGCCCTGCCCCTCACTATAAAAGGAGTCTGAGATCAGCCAATAATCGAGGAGCAGATAAATAACCCCGCTTCTCACTAGAAGAAGGGTCTAGGATCAACCAGTAATGGTGAAGAAGATGGACAACCCTGCCCCTCAGAATAAGAGGGGTCTGAGATCAGCCAATAATCGAGGAGCAGATAGATAACCCCACCTCTCACTTGAAGAAGGGTCTAGGATCAGCCAATAAAGGTGAAGAAGATGGACAACCCTGCCCCTCACTATAAGAGGGGTCTGAGATCAGTCAATAATCGAGGAGCAGATAGATAACCTCACCTCTCACTAGAAGAAGGGTCTAGGATCAGCCAATAAAGGTGAAGAAGATGGACAACCCTGCCCCTCACTATAAGAGGGGTCTGAGATCAGCCAATAATCGAGGAGCAGATAGATAACCTCACCTCTCACTAGAAGAAGGGTCTAGGATCAGCCAATAAAGGTGAAGAAGATGGACAACCCTGCCCCTCACTATAAGAGGGGTCTGAGATCAGCCAATAATGGGGGAGAAGATGGACAAGCCTGCCCCTAACTAAAAGAGGGGTCTGAGATCAGCCAATAATGGGGGAGAAGGTGGATAATCCTGGCCCTCGCTATACAAGACTAATAATGGGCTTGCCAGATACTAGTTTTAATTACATCAAATTAGCCATTCACAAAATACCAGACCAAAGAATGTTTTATGGCTCTTTTATGATAGGCCTAGCCTGGCTATACACTAATCAAAGTCTGGGCAGGTCACCAGGGACTAACCGAACTTCAATTAGTCTGTGGCCATCCCCCCTAGACTCATTGCATGCTTGGCTACAAAGGATGCTAGGAGGCCTGAGCAACCTTTATCCTAACAATGAGTAGACCACCTAGCATCCATCCTTGCTAGGACACAGGTGGCTCCTGAAGACTAGAACCATTTGTTGCTAGAACATAAGTGGCTTCTAAAAACTAGAACCCTTTGTTACTAGGACATAGGAGACATAGGTAACTCCTGAAAACCAGAACTCTTCATTGTTAGGATACAGGTGAATCCTGGGGACTAGAACCCTTTGTTGCTAGGACACAGGACAAGATGAGAACCCTTTGTTGCTAGGACACAGGTGGCTCCTGAAGACTAGAACCCTTCATTGCTAAGACACAGGTGGTTCCTGAGAACTAGAACCCATCATTGCTTGTACACAGGTGGCTCCTGAACACCAGAACCCTTTGTTGCTAGGACACAGAAGGCTCCTGAAGATTAGAACCCTTCATTGCTAGGAGACAGATGGCTCCTGAACACTAGAACTCTTTGTTGCTAAAACACAGGACAAGACTAGAATCCTTTGTTGCTGGGACACAGGTGGCTCCCAAAAACAAGAACCCTTTGTTGCTGGGACACAGGTGGCTCCCAAAAACAAGAACCCTTTGTTGCTAGGACACAGGTGGCTCCCAAAAATAAGAACCCTTCATTGCTAGGACACAGGTGGCTTTTGAAGACTAGAAACCTTTGTTGCTAGGACACAGGTGGCTCCCAAAAATAAGAACCCTTTATTGCTAGGACACAGTTTGCTCCTGAAGACTAGAATCCTTTGTTGCTGGGACACAGGTGGCTCCCAAAAACAAGAACCCTCTGTTGCTAGGACACAGATGGCTCCTGAAAACTGGAACCCTTTGTTGCTAGGACACAGGTGGCTCCTCAAAACTGGATCTTTTGTTGCTAGGACACAGGTGGCTCCTGAAGACTAGAACCCTTCGTTGCCAGGACACAGGTGGCTCCTGAAGATTAGAACCCTTTGTTGCTAGGACACAGGTAGCTCCTGAAAACTGGATCCCTTTGTTGCTAGGACACAGGTGGCTCCTGAAGACTAGATCCCCTTGTTGCTGAAAATCATGCTTCTCCCTTAATGCCACATACAGCTTTGTGCAGCATGACTTTTTTTGGGGTGCATTAGTAAAGGTTCCCCTACAGTTGACAATAGCTCTTCTAGTACCCTGCAAGGGTAACCATTAAAGTAAGATCTTATTTATTATTCCTTAACTATTGACCCCATTATATCCCCATCCTAATATTGTACAACCGACATAGGTCAGATAATTCTGTGTTATCTGTCTACAGAGAAACCGGTATCGATCACATGACCAAATGAGGATGGAGGAGGACCGGAGCCACATGACTGAGATGATACTAAACCTCACCCTGGAGATCATCTACCTGCTGACCGGAGAGGTGAGGAGGATTCTGGGAGGTCACATGACATCACTCTCTTCTCTATTAATAAAACACAGACCTGACCGGAGAGGTGAGGAGGATTCTGGGAGGTCACATGACATCACTCTCATCTCTATTAATAAAACACGGACCTGACCGGAGAGGTGAGGAGGATTCTGGGAGGTCTGCAGTGATCACTGGTATTGTCTATTTTTAAACAGGACTTTGAAGTGGTGAAGAAGACCTCTAGTGAACGATGGGCACCCAACAACCTTCTGCATGGACCACCTGACTTCACACCTCACTACCTGATACCTGAGAGATCCAACATACAGAAAATTCTAGAAGTCACCAAGAAGATGATGGAGCTGCTGACAGGAGAGGTGAGCGGTGCCGGGAATTCTGGAATATTCTCCAGTAACAGACAAGGGATGTGTCTGGATGGTGACTGTATCATTGTGTGTGTCAGGTTCCTATAAGGTGTCAGGGTGTCACTGTCTATTTCTCCATGGAGGAGTGGGAGTATTTAGAAGGACACAAGGACCTCTACAAGGACGTCATGATGGACAATCAGCCGCCCCTCACATCACCGGGTAAGAGGAGACTTTATTGGAAAGGAGAGAGCAGTACGGAGGATCCACCTAGATCCCCCATCATCTGATAAACACATAGAAACAATGGATTCAGTCAGTGTGTGTGTGTTTCCTACAGATGGATCCAGTCATGGGAACCCACCAGAGAGATGTCCCCGTTCTCTGTATTCCCGGGATTCCACACAGGAAGGTCACACCATCCCTCACCATCATCAGGTAGATGGATCCAGTCATGGGAACCCACCAGAGAGATGTCCCTGTCCTCTGTATTCCCAGGATTCCACACAGGAAGGTCACACCATCCCTCATCATCATCAGGTAGATGGATCCAGTCATGGGAACCCACCAGAGAGATGTCCCCGTCCTCTGTATTCCCGGGATTCCACACAGGAAGGTCACACCATCCCTCACCATCATCAGGTAGATGAGGAGCAATCACTGATAGTATCATTAGGATCTGTACATTATCTGCATTGTTACCATTGATGTCATTTTATTATATATTCAGAGTGGAAACCTGAGAGATTGTAAAGTTGAGGTTAAAGAAGAGATAAAAGAGGAGGAGGATGAGGATGGGGTGAAGGAGGAGTCAGAGTTTCCAAAAGATCTGTACCAGGACACCATGGTGGAGTCATCCAGCTCCAGGAACCCACCAGAGAGATGTCCCCATCCTCTGTATTCCCAGGATTCCACACAGGAAGGTCACACCATCCCTCACCATCATCAGGTAGGTGGATCCAGTCATGGGAACCCACCAGAGAGATGTCCCCGTCCTCTGTATTCCAGGGATTCCACACAGGAAGGTCACACCATCCCTCACCATCATCAGGTCGGTGGAGTTGAGGGTTGGGGACATGAAGGGATGGAACACTCTGACATGTGGAGACGATGTGTGGACTCTACAAGATGAGATGTTCTATGTGATCTCACATCATAAATCCTTCTATGTTACAGATGTTATTTTCTGCCATTCTGTTGGTTTAGGGTGAAGATCTGATGAACATGAAAGTTGAGGGTGAAGTAGAAGAGACGTATGTGAGGGATGATCAGCAATATACGGAGGAGGCTGGAATGAGGAGGACATTCATAGAGGAGGACACTCCTACAGAGATCAGCACAGGTGACCAGAATATATTCTTCTCTTATCTCTGCTCTGTTACCACCCCTCCCCCCCAGCCCCCATTGGTTCCTGCTCCTCTGACAAGGTGGCGTAAATAAAGAAGTGATCTGGGAGGAGGACCAAAGGCCTTTTTGAAGAGGGGAAGAGTCCCAGCTGGTTGGGACATCCACAGAGAACATCTGCTCCCTCCTATCTCCCTGATCCAGATGGAATCTTGATGGAAGTGAACTAACCCTCTCCCATCTATTGATGATGTTTTTCTATTTTTCCAGGAACCCGCCGTGGAGAAACCCTCAAAGGATTGTCTCACTTTATCTCCAGGTTGTAAAATGGAAGATGAGGACATCCTAGGAGATTGTGCCGGAGAAAAGACAATGAGCTCAACTATGGATGGTGGACTTCCCAGTGTGGAGAGACCATGGAATCCCTCTGACTCTGAGCAACCTCGTACTGTGGGGGATGGGGCTGGGATTCAGGGGGAGAAGACATTTTACTGTCCTGAATGTGGGGAAAGCTTTAGCTCTGAATTAAGTCTTGCTCTACATCAGAGATCTCACACAGGTGAGGAGCTTCATTCTTGCCCTAAGTGCGGGAAAGTTTTTTCCAATAAGGCCAAGCTTTCCAGACATGAGAAATTGCACGTGGATGAGAAGCTGTATTCATGCCCTGAGTGTGGAAAATGTTTTACACAGAAGTCCTATCTTTCCCGTCATCAGAGATTGCACATGAGTGAGAAGCCTTATTCCTGCCCTAAGTGTGGGAAATGCTTTCTTCTTAAATGCAAACTAGATATACATTACAGATCTCACACGGGGGAAAAGCCACATTCCTGTCCTGAGTGTGGGAAATGTTTTTCACAGAAGGTCCACCTTTCACGACATCAGAGATCTCACACGGGCGAGAAGCCGTATTCTTGCACTGAGTGCGGGAAATGTTTTGTTCGTAAAACAGAACTGGACACGCATTACAGATCTCACACGGGGGAGAGGCCGTTTTCCTGCCCTGAGTGTTGGAAATGTTTTTCAGACAAGACCAGTCTTTCCAGACACGAGAGACTGCACACCGGCAAGAAGCCGTATTCCTGCCTCGAATGCGGAAAATGTTATATACAGAAATCAGAACTTGTCAGACATGAAAGATCTCACACGGGAGAGAAGCCGTTTTCCTGCCCTGAGTGCGAGAAATGTTTTTCAGATAAGAGCAGCCTCACCAGTCATCAAAGATTGCACACAGGTGAGAGGTTTTATTGCTGCCCTGAGTGTGGGAAATCTTTTTCACGGAGGACTCACCTTACCAGACATCAGAGATTGCATACTGGAGACAAACTCTATGTCTGCCCCGAGTGCGGGAAATGTTGCACAGAAAAATCAGAACTTGTCGCACATCAGAGATCTCACACGGGGGAGAAGCCATATTCCTGCCCCGAGTGCGGGAAATGTTTCTCACAGAAGTCCAATCTTAATATACATCAGAGATTGCACACGGGCGAGAAGCCGTATTCTTGTCCTGAGTGCGGGAAATGCTTTTCGTGTAAGTCCAATCTTTCTGAACATGAGATATGCCACATGCGGGATAAGCTCTTTTCCTGCCCTGAGTGTGGGAAATGTTTTCCCCGGAACTCAGAACTGGTCAAACATCGACAATCTCACATAGAGACCGCAACCATGCCTTGAGTGCGGGAAATGTCTTCTATAGGGATGATATGTTGCCGTACATCAGAGATCTCACACAGGGAAGAAGCACACCTTGATATACACCCTCAGAAAACACGTGGCTGAGCGCTCCTCTGATCTTTATCATGGAAGAAACACTTTATAAGGAGATCAGAGATCACTAAAGAAGTTGTGTCTGGCTTCCTCTGCTAGGAGAGAGGGGGAGGTGGGGGGTCACTGCTGGTTGGGTCCCTCTAGCAGTGTAGTCTGATCTCCCCTGACCTTCAGCAGAAGCTTCCATGGAGGACATCGTGGTGAGAGAGAAGGAGGGGGGTCACTGCTGGTTGGGTCCCTCTAGCAGTGTAGTCTGATCTCCCCTGCCCTTCAGCAGAAGCTTCCATGGAGGACATCATGGTGAGAGAGGAGCTAGATATTGCTTGTGGATGAAGAGAAGGGGAGATCAGACTACACAACCGGACTGATCATTTCAGTGTAGTAGTTGTCATCCTTCACCGGCAGCTTCATCAGTTTGGAAAATGTGATATTTCTTGACATTTCATGTTTACCTAGGAAAAGTACAAATATATTAACACATTTTTTTTAGGATGAAATAGATATTTATATTCTTGAACTCCTGATATTCTCTGTAAGTTTGTTGATAAAAGTCTTCCTTCAGATTTGTATAATGAAATGTTCTTCTCCTTTATTCTTTTCTCTAACACTACAAGTACGGCCCATCCTGTAGGTTTTAGTCTCCATCTTGTGTCTTAGTAGTTTGGTGTTCCCAGCTTGTTCTTGTTGGAACAGCCGACTCTCCCCCTTCTCATAGACCTCAGGACGTCTGTAGTATACTCCAATGATAAGTCCATCAGTCCATAGACCCATCTATCATTCCTCCCGTAATTCCTCCTCTGCACCGTAACTCTACAAAAGAGTGCATTCTGTCTTTATCAAAAAGATCTCCTATGGAGGTAATTCCAGCTGTTGTCCAGGCGCAGAGCGATAGATCCGAGCAGATGAGTTTGACTGATGAGAGAGGGAGATATTTCAGTTTGTTTTGACAGACCCTTAATTTGTTGGAAGATGGCTCTCCAGGTAAAAACCAGGTGTTGCATTGACTGAGCTGAGATTTATTGAGATTTTTTTACCGAAGACATGTAGCAGAATACATTTTGGCCTAAATTCATTAAGAAATTGGATCTTTTTTTATTGGATATGTTTTATAACAAAGTAAAATATATATATATTTTTTAAATATTTGGTCTTTTTTTTGTTGTTCATATATATAAAAAAAAACAGTGGTGATAAAATACCACCAAAAGAAAGCTCTATTTGTGTGAAAAAAAATTATATAAATTTCATTTGGGCACAGTGCTGCATGACCGCGCAATTACCAGTTAAAATAGCGCAGTGCTGAATAGCAAAAAATGGCCCTGGTCAAACCTTCCGGAACTCAAGTGGTTAAAGCAAACAAAGAAATGACTGAGAACTGATCTGATTGGTGGAATAGGACTGTGCAATGTACAGTTGTGATAGATATGGTAAAATGCCTATTTGGTTTCCTATTGAATATATATATATATATATATATATATATATATACGTTTTTCTACACATTTTTCTACATATTTACTTTTATACTTTAATACCATTTCTTTCTTCATATTTATAAATGTTTAGTATGAATACATATGTTGTGTGAATATTTTCTGTCTGCTGGGCTTTGTGGTACTTTAAGAAATCCTTGCTTAAGAAATGTTTGCTCACAGGCACCGATACCCCCTCCCACACCTCCCATCTTGCCAACTTGAGACAAACAAATGTTTTTCTTTCTATAAGATAAGACTTGGAAGAAGATCACACCTATACCATGCCGGAGATTGTTTTCGTGTGGAAATGACCAATCAAAGACTAATATAATGCTTATGCTGTTCTCACATGACTCTTGCATCATTTTGCATATATAAGCTCACTTTCTCATTATAATAAACTAGAAGTGTTCATAGACTGAACTTGTGTGTCAGCGTGAGTCTCTTCCAGTGTGCGCACATTCCAAAGCTAGCTAGCAAAGATTAATTAGGACAGGAGCAGATAATCAACGGACACTTTTGGTCCTTATCTAATTCACAGTTAGGTCCATATACAGTATATTTGGACACAGGCACAATTTTAGTTTTTCAGGTATTTACCAAAACATATTCCATCTCTAGTTCTATGATGGGGAAAAAAAAAATAGAAAAGGACTGAAAAATATTACTGAACTTGGCCTAATTCCTGGACTTGCTCTGCCTGCTGATTCTGTAATGCTTTGCTTGGCTGTTACTAACCTTGGCCTTCTTCTTGGACTTGCTTTGCCTGCCAATTTGGTCCTTCACTGCCCAATCATTGTTGTCTTCTGCTGACTACCCAGATCCTGATACCACCTCTTGCTCTGGTGCCAAGCTGCTTCTACATCCTGTTCTGAGCCCTGTGGCTTCCAGCTCTACCCCTCTAAATTGCGGTCACCACTAGCCAGCTACTTCAGCGCTCATGCCACTCCATGACCACACAATTTCTGTCTTCATCTTCAGGAGTTTTGGGTAGGAGGTGCATGAGAGGCCCCCACAACGTTCCTGTCTCCACTAGGTACATGATGGACACTCTAAACATGTATGTGTATTTGATTGTCACGTTTTCATGGCTTCATATGCATTTCAATGACTCTGGTGCCAAAGTGCTTCCACATCCTGTCCTGAGGACTGTGGCTTTTAGCTCTACCCACCTAAGTTGTGGACAAAGCAGTGCAGAATCTGCAGGCAGAGGAGAGTCCAGTAATCAGACAGAGGTCAAGGGGAACCAGATGAGCAGGTTTTGAGGCAGCAGGGAGAGGTAAAGTCCAGTGATGAACTGGGCCATACAGCAGATCAGGTCTCAGGAACAAGCTGAAGACCCTTCAGCAACATCTTACAGTGGCAGATTAGTTTAAATAGGTCGCTAGGCACCAAGTGTGCACACTAATTGCTACGTGCACCTGCGAGTGGCGAACTGGCACTGTACATCTGATATTGTCCTTTTGCTTAGGAAGTACAATGCATGAGCACATGTGAAAGTCCGCACTGGTTTTCTGATCCTGGGAATCCAATTTACCTTACAGATATATTCCACCTAATAATGAATATATTAAGATCACACGTTCTTTAAAATCATCTGGTCACATCATCACATTTATAATAAATGTTGTAAGGAGATTGCATGATAAGTGTCGCAAAATTCCACAGGCAACCTCAGATCCATCTCCTTAGGTTCACAAAATTTGAAGAAGGAAGCAGTCCGTTTCTATTTTTTTTCCCAGACCTGGACGTCCTCAGAGGTAGGAGGATACAAGCCTGTGTACATCCACCTATCCATAGACCTGCATGGAGCCTCTGTTTAGGTCCACCTGAAAGACCGACAGGTGTACCTGATCAAAAATCTTGTGTGAAAGAGGCCTTAATCTCACGAGAGAGACTAGAGCAAAGTAACTGCAGGCCTGGAGTAAGAGAACCTGCTTTCTTCAAAAGAATACAGGTCTTTCTAAGACTGTCCAACAGGGACAACCAGAAGTTACAGGAACTTCGTGATCTTCTTGAACTTAAAATTGTTAAGGTAGACCTACATACAACAGGTCTTAGCTACCTAGACATTGAACATGATGTGAACCTGGTCATGGCAAATTTGCCTGTCCATAGACCTGTATGGGGCTTCCAGTCAGGTCCACCTGAAAAACCAACTGGTGGATCTGATTGAACATATCGCATTAAAAGGGACTAGAGCAAAATAACTGCAGGCCTGGAGTAAGAGAACCAGCTTTTTTCAAAAGATTCTAGATGTTTCTTAGACTGTCCAACAGGGACAACCAGAAATTACAGGAACTTAATTATCTTCTTGAACATAAAATTGTTAAGGTAGATCTACATCTAACAGGTCTTTGCTACCTAGACTTTGAACACGATGTGAACCCAGTCATGGCAAAATTGCCTGACCATAGACCTGCATGGGGCTTCCAGCAAGGTCCATCTAAAAAACCAACTGGTGGACCTGACTGAAAATCTTGCATGAAAGGGACTAGAGCAAAATAACTGCAGGTCTGGAGTAAGAGAACCTGCTTTCTTCAAAAGATTCTAGATCTTTTTTAGACTGTCCAACAGGGACAACCAGAAGTTACAGGAACTTAGCGATCTTTTTCTTGAGCTTGAAAATGTTAAAGAAGACCCACATCCTCCTTACACCTGCGTAGGTTTCCTCCAAGTACTCCGGTTTCCTCTCACGCTCCAAAGACATGCTGGGAGGTTACTTGGCTCTGGACTAAATTGGCTCCAGTATGTGTATGTAAGTTATAAGCTCCTCAGGGGCGGGGACCGATGGGAATCTACATTATATATGTAAAGCTATGCGTAAATTGATGGTGCTATATAAGTACCTGTAATAAATGAATGACTCTAATACAGAGAAGTCAGCCTCCTCCTAGACCTGCTCTCTGGTGAAGATCATATGGTAGGACTCTCTTGTGAAAAGGTGTTGGGCGGAGAACTGAGGATTCTGACATGAAGGGGGAGGGGGACTGAGGACTATGATACAAAGGGGAGGTGGGAGGACTGAGTTCTTTGACACAAAAGGGAGGTGGGAGGACTGTGGACTATGATACAAAAAGGAGGTGGGAGGACTATGATGTGAAAAAAATAGGGGAGGGCTGAGGGCCTAAAGGGGGGGGGGGGGGGGGGGGGGGGGGGCTGAAAACTCTGGTGTGAAATGGAGGGGGTGAGATTACCAAGGACTCTGTGAAGGAGAAATGGAGGACTCTTCTAGGAAAGGGAGGAGACTCTACGCTTTTTTTTTTTAAGGGGGGAGACTAAGAATTCCAATGTGAAAAGTGGGGGAAGGGAAGATGATGTGAAAGGGAGGAGGGGAAGATTAGGACTAATGTGAAAGGGGAATTGAAGACTCTGATGTGAAAGCAAGGGACTGGGGACTCTGATTTTTTTTAGTTGGGGGGGGAATAAGGACTCTGACGTGAAGGGGGATGGGGAATGAAGACTCTGAGGTGAAAGGAGAAATTGAGGACTGTGAAAGGGGGGACTAGGGACTATTTTTTTTTTTCAAAGGGGGGAAAACTAAGGACTTCAATGTGAAAGTGGGGAGAGGGAAAATAATGTGAAAGGGAAAGGAGATGAGGACTCTGATGTGAAAGAAGGGGCTAAATACTCTGGTTTGAAAAGTGGGGCTGAGGACTCTGGTGTAAATGGGAGGAGGAACATTAGGACCAGGGGCGGACTAACAACTCATGGGGCCCCCGGGCAATAGGGGATCATGGGGCCCCTGTGTCCTTGCCCAAACTCAAAAAAGCCTATGAAAAAGGTACCAGGGGCATCTCATGGGGCCCCCTACTAACCCCGGGCAGTCCCCGAGTTTCCAAATGGTCAGTCCGCCCCTGATTAGGACTAATGTGAAGGGTTAATTGAAGACTCTGGAGGGGACTGGGAGTCTAATGTGAAAGGGGGGACTGAGGACTCTGGTGTGAAAAGGGAACTGATGTTCTTGGTGCCGGCCCTTGAAGGGGTATTAGATGCTGGGGGGGGGGGGGTTTGTGATCATGTGACCGCATTGATTGGCTTTCACAGCAGTCACATGATTGGAAAGCTCTTGCTTCGGTTAGCTGCCAGTAACTGTCCTGGAAGCTCGCACGGTGCGCACTCTTGGCAGAGTTCCGTTTTTGTTTGGGTACGCATATAGGCATGCGACTGGCGGGAAGTGGAGGAAACGAAAGACTCCTATGTAAAAAGGGGGGGGGGGGAAGTGGGGATTCTGATGTGAAAGGGGGGGAAGGGTTTTTTATAAGTACTCTGATGTAAAAGGAGGACAAAAGAGGGACAATGAGGAATCGGGACTTAGGAGAGAAAAAATAGACAGAAACGTTATTAGATTGTGAAGACTTTATTGGTCAAGTTACATGAGGTGACCATGATGTCCACCTTGGAAGGTTCTGCTGAAGGTCAGGGGAGATCAGACTACACAGCTAGAGGGACCCAACCAGCAGTGACCCCTCCTTCTCTCTCACCATGATGTCCTCCATGGATGCTTCTGCTGAAGGTCAGGGGAGATCAGACTACACTGCTAGAGGGACCCAACCAGCAGTGACCCCTCCTTCTCTCTCATCATGATGTCCGCCATGGAAGCTTCTGCTGTAGGTCAGGGAAGATCAGACTACACTACTAGAGGGACCCAACCAGCAGTGACCCCCCCCCCTTCTCTTTCCTAGCAGAGGAAGCCGGACACAACTTTGAAGTCTTTAGTGATCTCTGATCTCCTTATAAAGTGTTTCTTCCATGATAAAGATCAGAGGAGCGTTCAGCCACGTGTTTTCTGAGGTGTATATCAAGGTGTGCTTCTTCCCAGTGTGAGGTCTCTGATGTCCGGCATCATATCATCCATAGAGAAGACATTTCCTGCACTCAGGACACTAGTACACCTCGAGGGTGGTGTGAGATCTCTGACATACGGCAACATATCATCCATATAGAAGACATTTCCCGCACTCAGGACACTATTACACCTCAAGGGTTGTGTGGGATCTCTGATGTCTGGTAAGACAAGACTTTCATGAAAAACATTTCCCGCACTCAGAGTATAAATAAGGCTTTTCCCTCGAGCGAGATTTCAGATGTTTGATAAGTTCTGATTTCTGTGGCCAACACTTCCCTCACTATGGGCAAGAAAACAGTTTTTTTCCGTCTGTGGCATGCCTGATGTTCATTAAGATTGCCCTTCCGTGAAAAACATTTTCCACATTGAGGACAGGAATACGGCTTCTCACCTGTGTGCACTCTCTGATGTGCATGAAGATAAACCAACCGCGCAAAACATTTCCCACACTCAGGGCAGGAATAGGGTTTCTCACCTGTGTGCAATTTCTGATGTCTTGAAAGACTGCCCTTATCTGAAAAACACTTCACACACTCAGAGCAGGAATACGGCTTCTCACCTGTGTGTGATCTCTGATGTCTGCAAAGGCTGTAACTATCCGAATAACATTTCCCACACTCTGAGCAGGAATACGGCTTCTCACCTGTGTGAGACCTGTAATGGATGTCCAGTTTTGCTTTACGAACAAAACATTTCCCGCACTCAGGGCAGGAGTATGACTTCTTTCCTGTGTGAGATCTGTAATGTCTGATGAGGTCTGATTTACGAAGAAGAAATTTCCCGCACTCAGAACAGGAATGGAGCTCCTGACCCATGTGTGATTTCTCATGAACAGACAAAATTTGTTCAGAGATAAAACTTTCCCCACACTCAGGACAGGGAAACTTCTTCTCCCCCTGAACCCCGGCCCTATCCCCCACAGTACGAGGGTGCTCAGAGTCAGAGGGATTCCATGGTCTCTCCACACTGGGAAGTCCACCATCCATAGTGGAGCTCATTGTCTTTTCTCCGGCACAATCTCCTGGGATGTCCTCATCTTCCATTTTACAACCTGGAGATAAAGTGAGACGATCCTTTGAGGGTTTCTCCATGGCGGGTCCTGGAAAAATAGAAAAACATCATCAATTGATAGGTGGGGGTTAGTTCACTTCCATCAAGATTCCATCTGGATCAGAGAGATAGGAGGGAGCAGATGTTCTCTGTGGATGTCCCAACCAGTTGGGAGTCCTCCCTTCTTGTCACGATATGGGTTCTCTGCAAGTTCCAGTTATTAATTCCTTGTTTTTTTAATCCCTTGTGTCCAGAGGAAGTTCATCCTCCAATTAGTATTCTACTCCTGTGTGCCAAAGGCTCCTAGCTGTAATTAACACACCCCCTCCATCCTCCTCCAGCCAAAAGGTCCCCAAATTCAATTAATGTATTCTCCCCCACTGTCACCCTGTTTACAGCTACAAATTCAATTACTGTATTTCCTTTCCTGTCCATCCTGTCTTGTGCCCAAATGTAGTACATCCCTAAGTAATGCCTTACTTTTGTGCCAGAGGAAGTGCTTCCCATCCCCAATGCAATTAGTGCCTTTCTTGCCAAATGTTCCCTAATTCAATCAAGGCATCCCCTCCATTGTCATCCAAATGTCCACAAACTCAATCAAGGCATCCCATCCATTGTCATCCTGCTAATGACCCCCCCGCCCCACCTCTCGTCCTGCCCCGGGGTTTAAGAGGTCAGTGCTGGTCTCTCCCTACCATCCATTCTGCTGTGCAGCCACTGAGGGATCCCAGCTGCGGCGGGACTCTAGTGGCCAGACTCTGCCTGAGCCCCATTGGAGTAAGGGGGACCCCAGAAGCCACATCAGCTCTGCCTGAGACGCTGTCAGCTCTGCCTGAGACTACCACATCAGCTCTGCGTGAGTGTATGCTTCCCCTGTGTTATCCAAACTGTTTATGAACTGCCTCCTACCTCCCTGTTGGATTACAAACTGCTGTAGAGACTTTAACTTTGCCCCCCGGGGCTGGATTACAAAGTATTTTGAGCTCTCTCTCTCTGCACTACTTCCCATTGAGTGACTGCTGTCTGTTTTAATAAAGCTTTAACTGTTTGCCATCTGCCTTGTGTGTTCTGTCCTGCCTACCCTCCGTCACACCTCTTCAAAGGATCTTTGGTCCTCCCAGGTCACTTCTACATTTACACCGCCTTGACAGAGGAGCAGGAACCAATGGGGGCTGGGGGGGCGGTAGCAGAGCAGAGATAAGAGAAGAATATATTCTGGTCACCTGTGCTGATCTCTGTAGGAGTGTCCTCTATGAATGTCCTCCTCATTCCAGCCTCCTCCGTATATTGCTGATCATCCCTCACATACGTCTCTTCTACTTCATCCTCAACTTTCATGTTCATCAGATCTTTACCCTAAACCAACAGAATGGCAGAAAATAACATCTGTAACATAGAAGGATTTATAATGTGAGATCACATAGAACATCTCATCTTGTAGAGTCCACACATCGTCTCCACATGTCAGAGTGTTCCACCACTTTATGTTCCCGACCCTCAACTCCACCGACCTGATGATGGTGAGGGATGGTGTGACCTTCCTGTGTGGAATCCTGGGAATACAGAGAACGGGGACATCTCTCTGGTGGGTTCCCATGACTGGATCCATCTACCTGATGATGGTGAGGGATGGTGTGACCTTCCTGTGTGTAATCCCGGGAATACAGAGGACGGGGACATCTCTCTGGTGGGTTCCTGGTATTAGGTGGCTCCATTATATCCTTGTGTTCTTCTGAAAACTCCTCCATCACTCCATACTCCTCATCCGCCTCTTTATACTCTTTAACAACAATATTATAATCCCCAAGGATTCCACTCTGAATATATAAAAAAAAAAACATTCAATGTAACAAACATGTCGTGTATAAAATCATAACTACCAATATTGTTATTCATCTACCTGATCATTTTGTGAATAGTTGTGATCTTCCTGTGTGGAATCCCGGGAATACAGAGGACGGGGATATCTCTCTGGTGGGTTCCTGTAGCTGGATGACTCCACCATGGTGTCCTGGTACAGATCTTTGTGTTCCTCTGAAACCTCTGACTCCTCCATCGCCCCATTCTCAACATCCTCCTCTTTTATCTCTTCTTTAACCTCAACTTTACAATCTCTCAGGTTTCTACTCTGAATATATAATAAAAATGACATCAATGGTAACAATGCAGATAATGTACAGATCCTAATGATACTATCAGTGATTGTTCCTCATCTACCTGATGATGGTGAGGGATGGTGTGACCTTCCTGTGTGGAATCCTGGGAATACAGAGGACGGGGACATCTCTCTGGTGGGTACCCATGACTGGATCCATCTGCAGGAAACACACACATTGACTGAATCCATTGTTTCTATGTGTTTATCAGATGATGGGGGATCTAGGTGGACCCTCCGTACTGCTCTCTCCTTTCCAAAAAAGTCTCCTCTTACCCGTGATGTGAGGGGCGGCTGATTGTCCATCATGACGTCCTTGTAGAGGTCCTTGTGTCCTTCTAAATACTCCCACTCCTCCATGGAGAAATAGACAGTGACACCCTGACACCTTATAGGAACCTGACACACACAATGATACAGTCACCATCCAGACACATCCCTTGTCTGTTACTGGAGAATGTCCCAGAATTCCCGGCACCGCTCACCTCTCCTGTCAGCAGCTCCATCATCTTCTTGGTGACTTCTAGAATCATCTGCATGTTGTGTCTCTCAGGGTTTTAGGGAGTCACATGGAGGCACTGTGATGGTCATATGATCACCTGACTTCGGAAGAGGAAATCTCTGTATTGAAGAACCAATAGGAACATCATGTTAGACTCCCAGAACCCCCCCACCACTCCGGTCAGGTCTGTGTGATGTCATGTGACCTCCCAGAATCCTCCTCACCTCTCCGGTCAGGTGTGTGTTTTATTATTAGAGATAAGAGTGATGTCATGTGACCTCCCAGAATCCTTCTCACCTCTCCGGTCAGCAGGTAGATAATCTCCAGGGTGAGGTTTAGTATCCTCTCACTCATGTGACTCCGGTCCTCCTCCATCCTCATTGGTGTGGTCATCTATGAAGGTTTCCCTGTAGACAGATAACATTGATGAGAGAATGATCTGGATTGGTTGTACAATGATAGGATGGGGATATCAGGAGGTAATATGGAGGTCAGTATGGATTATAGAACTATGGCCCCCGGTGGGAACATGTTTAATCCGGACTGTTTAGGGTTTGCTATGATTCTTGGGGTACGGGAGATGTATACACTTTGGCCTCCTCCACAAATTCCAGTTTCTATGTTGGGTGTGTTGTTTCTGAACTCATTCTGTTTGGTATTCGATCTGCAGACATGGAACCATAAACAGGATCTTCTGCTTTCTTGAATGGGTTTTCTCTCAAGCATTGCTGTGAGGTCAGTGTGATATCATAGGGTTCTCTGACTCCGGATGGAGGAACATTGGGAGGAGGAGCTGTGAGGTCAGTGTGATGTCATAGGATTCTCTCACGCTGGATGGAGACATTTGGAAGAGGAGCTGTGAGGTCAGTGTGATGTCATAGGATTCTCTGACTCCGGATGGAGGAACACTGGGAGGAGGAGCTGTGAGATCAGTGTGATGTCATAGTATTCTCTGGCCCCGGATAGAGGAACATTGGGAGGAGGAGCTGTGAGGAGAGTGTTATGTCATAGAATTCTTTGATTCTAGATCAGCGGTTCTCAACCTGTGGGTCGCGACCCCTTTGGGGGTCGAACGACCATTTCACAGGGGTCGCCTAAGACCATCGGAAAACACATATTTCGGTCTTAGGAACCGAGACACCGCTCCTCTGTCTCAGGCGATGTGTGGGCGGGATGATACGCTGCCCCTGTCACCTAGCCACACCTCCGGGATCACTCAACAGCTCCGCCTCCTCGCCGCTGATTGGCCACCGGAACTGTAGCTCAGGAGAGGCACACAGGCGGCCAATCACCGACGAGGAGGTGGATCTTGGAGAGGAGGAGCCGAGCGGCAGCGCGCGTAGATCAATGAAGAACGAGGGAGCTGCCGGAGCAAGTGAAGAGGAGAGTGGCCAGAGAAGGAAGACAGCTGACAGGTAAGTGAGAGAGCGAGCCCAGACTGGAGCAGGGGTCAGCAAGGTAAGTATCATTGGTGTCAGTAGGAGGAATAGTGCCCCATCATTTGTGTCACTAATACCAATGATGGGGCACTATTTCTCCCACACATACACCAACGATGGAGCACTATTCCTCCCCCCACCGACACCAACGATGGGGCACTATTCCTCCCCCCACCGACACCAACGATGGGGCACTATTCCTCCCCCCACCGACACCAACGATGGGGCACTATTCCTCCCCCCACTGACACCAACGATGGGGCACTATTCCTCCCCCCCACTGACACCAAGAATGGGGCACTATTCCTCCCCCCACCGACACCAACGATGGGGCACTATTTCCCCCTCCACCACACTGACATCAATGATGGGGCACTATTCCTCCCACTGACACCAATGAATGGGGCGCTATTCCTCCCCCCACTGACACCAATGATGGGGCGCTATTCCCCCTCCCCACACTGACACAATGATGGGGCGCTATTCCTCCCACTGACACCAATGATGGGGCGCTATTCCTCCCACTGATACCAATGATGGGGCGCTATTCCTCCCACTGACACCAATGATGGGGCGCTATTCCTCCCACTGACACCAAGGATGGGGCGCTATTCCT